CAGGGAGGTGGGCTCGGGAGCAGGTCTGATTCCAGGGAAAGTCGGTCTGGATTGGATGTCTCCCTCCCCTTGGCTGCTGGGCTGCCTGACACACAATATCCATAGGGAGACAGCTGCACTGGGAGCTGGAAAATCTGGAGCTGTTGGAGCAGCATTTGTCTGTGCCGTGCAGACGTGCTCTGGGTAAATTTGATGTGTGGGTGTTTCTGTACAAAGAGAAACAATTGGCTGTTTTCACCTTGTCCTGTGTTTTAGGAGGGGGAATTAATAAGAACTAATTATGTGAGCTCTTCCTAGCATAGCCAGGTAGGAGGGTTGATTTTGACCAGGTGATATTTTTGAGTTAAAAAACCAGAAAAACAGAAAATTTATTATGCTTGGACCGAGTTTTTATCTTCTGAAGGCTTTCAACCCTTCCCTCCCTCCCTGCTTTCTTTGTGATTGTCCAACAAAATGGTTTGGGATGGGGAGACTGGGGGAAAAGACCATGCTGACTCCTCTGCAGCCATGGCCAGGCTGTGCTAACTTGGGATGCTGAATTTATTTATGGCAAATAATAAAGATGAAATTTGGACATCACTTGATGTCCAGCTACAAATACAAACCCTCCCTTGCGTGAGGGGTTTGAGTGTTTGGAAGAGGCAAAACACTTGAAAACCCTAAAAGGAATAGGGGAAAGTGTATTTACTTCCCTTCCCTCCTCCCCTCCGGCACATCCTCGTGCTTCTGCTCCTCCCCTGCCCCAGCAGAGACCTCTGGAAAATCCCAAACCATGGATTTTGCCACGCCAAGTTCCGAGCGTGTCCCGAGCCCTCGGAGCGCGTGTGGGGCGGGCGCAGCCGCCATCGGAGGTTGATTTTATTCCCTTTTTTTTTCCCCCAAAAAAACCCAGCCCGTGGCTCCCTCTCCGGCTGCGCCAGAGATAACAATGGGGGGCTTTGTGCTGCCCTGCAGCTGCTGAAATTTGACGAGATCCAAGTGAGGAAAACAGGAGCAGGTGGGTCAACAACGTGACCCTTTCGTTCCCAGCAGTATCAGTGAGCCCGGGAGTAAGGATGTGTTGGTTGGGGCTTGGAGGATGGGAAGTGTCTCTTGGAGAGAGCCCTGATGGGGTTTGCTGCTGTTTATGGGATGGGTTTCACCCCCAAAACTCCAGGATTGGGGAATGTTACTGGAGGTCGTTGCTCCCTTCATTGTTCGTTAGTTTTGGGATGCTCCATGGCTTCTCTGTGGATGCTCCTGAAGCTCCCAATGTCCTGAAGCTCCAATATTTGCCTTCTCATCCCACAGCCCCAAAGTGGGGCTGTCCCAGATGCGACTGCTCTATCCCTGGCAGTGTCCAAGGCCAGGTTGGACAGGGCTTGGAGCAGCCTGGGACAGTGGAAGGTGTCCCTGCCATGGCAGGGGTGGCACTGGATGGGATTTAAGATCCCTTCCAATCCAAAGCATCCCATGATTCCATCCCAGTTTCTTCTCTGAGTCCCCCCAGGTCATGGAGATGTCTCCTTCCTGTCTGTGGTTTTTTGCTGCCCTACAAAATGTCAGGGGTGGGAATTGCTGCACTTGGAGGAGGGTTTGGGATGTGCTTCCCAGGGTGTTTGGTGCACAGAGAGGATGTGGCTGTGTTCACCTCCTGGCACTGCCACATCAGCAAACACATCTCACTGTAGAATCCTGCAATGGATCAGGTTGGGAGGGATCTTAAATCCTCACCTTCCTCACCTTCATCACTGCTCCCATGTGATAGCAGCAAGAGGAGGGCGAAAACCAGGAGAGAAATCCTGGAGTTCATGGGCTGGGAGGGTCGGTGGGGAAGCCTGGAGAAATCCTGGAGGGTCAGTGAGGAACCCTGGAGAAATCCTGGAGTTCATGAGCTGGGAGGGTCAGTGGGGAACCCTGGAGAAATCCTGGAGTTAGTGAGCTGGGAGGGTCGGTGGGGAACCCTGGAGAAATCCTGGAGTTCATGGGGTGGGAGGGTCGGTGGGGAACCCTGGAGAAATCCTGGAGTTCATGATCCTTCAGGTGTCCCAGTGTGTTTGGGCTCTGTGAACCCCTGAGTGCTGTTCAGAGGTGACAACACTCCAAGCTCAGCAGGGACGTGGCTCCAGCCTCGGAGCTGTGTAAGAATCTGAAGGATTTGGAGTCTGAGGCTTTCAGGGCAGATGTGAACAACTGTGTGTGAGTCAGCGGGGAGGAACGGGAGGTTCTGCTGATGGATTTGGAATTCTTGGGCCTGGTATCATCTTACAGCCCAGCGAGGGTGAGCTGGAGCCCAGCTCCCCCCTCATCTGCTGAGCTGTGGATTCACTTGTGCTGTTCAACATGTTCATCTCCTCAAATCTTCCTGACTGCGCTGGAATTTTTATAGAAACCACAGCACAGGAGGGTCTGGGATAATCCAGCACTTCAGTGGCCATGGAACAGCATCCAGCAGCAGTTTGTTTGCACGAGATGAAGCCTGAAAGAGGAGTGGGCTTGGGCGTCTTGGAGGTCTTCTCCAAGCTTAACATTTTTCTGGGAATGACAGATTATGGTCAGGATGAGTCAGTGCTGGAAGGAAGAGGCCAGGACAGGTCCAGGGTGAGGATGGATGGATGGATGGATGGATGGATGGATGGATGGATGGATGGATGGATGGATGGATGGATGGATGATGCAAGTGGGTGATGGATCCCAGAAAACTGATCCCACGTGGGCAGCTGTGGAGACTCCATCCCTCAGGAAAGGGGTTGTGAATAAATCAGCCTCTCCCAGTTTATCTGCCCTAAACCTGGTTTTAGCAGGACCTTGAGGCAGGAGCAGAGCCCCACATGCCCTCACCAAGGAGCAGCCAGAGCCAGGCAGGATTTAACCCCAAACTGGGTGAATTTTGGGGCCCAGACTCCTGTCCCAGCCTGTGAGCAGAGTGTGTCCTTGGCTGCACTTGCAGTTAAACCCAGCTTAGGGCTGGCTTAGCTGCAGAGCAGCCGGGGGTGCCGGGGCTGTGCCCAGCAGCTGGCAGCGCTGTTTACTCCGCGCTGCTCCCGGCACAGCTCCATCCTGCTGTGCCAGCTGGTGCCAGGATTCCAGCCCATCCCTTTGGGATAAAAGCACAGGTGCAAGGCTGAACTCGTGCTCTAGGCCGTGCCAGCGAGGCTTGGCTTGGCTTTGCCCATGTGGGTGCTGGGAGCATCCTCCTGGAGCCGCGGGATGTGCGGGAATTGTCCTGCGGGATGCCAGCATCCCTCTGTGCCCCTTGCTGGTAATTGGGGTTAAAAAGCAAGCAGGGGAAGCTGCTGGTGTGCCCTGCTGGTGAGGGCAGTGCTGCTCTCCGGGAATGGATGCCCAGGGATGCAGGAGTTTGGATGCCACCCCAACACCCATCCCCAGCAGGGCAGCGTGGTGATTACCATATGAAAACAGGGATAACAGTGGGATTCTTGTGCCGGCAGGAATGAGGGAGATCTACGACCCTTTTGGTGCCAGTCAGCCCCGGAGCTGGGTTCAGGCACAATTAACCTTTCACTTTTGGGATGAGCCGGTGCTTTCCTGCTGCAGCTGCTTTTGGGACAATATTCCTTACTTCTCCTTCCAGAAACATTAATGTGGGCATCTGGGGGGGCTGTGCTGGGAACCACAGGCTGTGTGGAGGGAGGAGGGGGAGTTTTAAATGGCTTTGATGTGTAATAATCCGAGTTTTAAAAATTCCATTTTGATTTAAGGGGTTTTTGCACATTAAGGTTTAAAAAAAACGAGGTTTCACGACTGTTATTGGAAGTATTTTCAAGCAAATTCAAAGTGGTTTTTCCTGTGTGACAACATCAAATCAGGGGTTGGAAAAATCTTGGGGTGGGGGATCAGGGAGCTCCGGCTGCAGCTGGAAGGGATGGATGGGGTTTGGAATGGGTTTGGAATGGGTTTCTCTGCCTCTTTGGGGTGGGCGAAGGGAATTGTTATGGATCAAACTGGTGAAGTGCCTGGAGAAACCTTGGGAATGAACTGGAACTGTGGACACTGCCTGGTTTAATTGACATAGCTGAGAATGTCAGTGCCTTGATGGCTCCACCAAGGAATTTTCAGGAATTCTCCTCAGCAATGTGCCATTTAATGTCTTTTTTTTCATGGTTTCAGAATACAATTCTATCACACAGAAATATTTGAGAATCAGAATAATTGGAGGTGGGACAAAGCTGCAGTAATTTAGTTCTGGCAGGGATAAATTGGTGCTTCCAGACATGGTGAGGGTTGGACTTCACCTGTCAAAACAGAGCTGTGTGTTCTGCCTCTCTTGGAATAATCATTCCAGTGTTTGTAGGCTGGGATGGAGGAGAAAATGCAAAATACAGATTTGCATGGATTAGGTGGAGTCTGTCTGCTCCCGAGGATCCGGGGAATGGATTCATGGTGGGATCCCACAGCTCTGCTTTGAGCTCAGTCCAGGGTAGTTTGGTTAAATCCAAGGATGTGTAAAATCCAGCAGCTGGTGAAAGTGGCCTAATGGACAATTTTGGTACCTTTTAGAATTTTTTTTGTGATAAAAATTCCGAGCTTCTCGTTGCACTGAATGTTGATGATTACAAGACCCAATGGGATCTTAATTGCTATTTTTTGAAGTTAAAACTGCCCCATTTTGGCAAAAATCCAGCCCAGTCCATGGCACTGCTGGATCCAGCCATGACTGGAGGAATCAGTGGCACTGCTTGCTTGTCCCGTGCCACTTCCCAGAGCACCTAAATCTCATTTTTCCTGCTTCATAGAAGTTATTAATTTTTACAAAATCCTCCCTTTTATGCAGTTTATGTTTAGAGAAGAAAAAAACCCCAAAGCTTCAAACCCCTGAAGCCCTGCTGTGTGGGATGTCTGTTTTAGGGCAACTGGTGCCTGATTTCCCCCAAATTAACCTTAAAAAGCATTCAAAGTATTGGGGTTTTTTTAATCCTTCCATTTAACTTTAATTCCAGGATAACTTCCATCACTTGCACCATGCTTATTTCCTTCTTCACTTCTCGTTGGCCCTGCAGGATGGGAATCACAGCTCCTGGAGACAGGATTCCTGGGAATATTCCTGTGCCCCCTCTGGACCCTGTCCCGCCTGCCCCAGGGCTCTCCTCCTTCCAGGATTGTCATCTGGAGCTTCCGCTGGCTGATTTTCAGGATCATGCTGGGAGCGGTGAGTGGGAATTCCCCTTCGGCTTCTCGGAGGTGCCAGCAGCAGGAATGTCCCATCCCGAATGTCCCATCCCAAATGTCCCATCCCAAATGTCCCATCCCAGCTGGGAATTTCCCAATCCGGCGCCTCGGGGTCTGTTGGTTTGGGAGTTTTCCCACTAACAAGGAAAAGCTCCCTGCTCTCAGAATCCATCAGTTCGTTCCTGGTTTGGTTTTGAGGAGGAAGAGCAGGGAATGATCTGTGTGGATGTGTTGGTGCTGCACTTTAGGGGCTCCTCCAAAGGAATTAAAGGGAACTTGGGCGTTGTGGCTTTTCCACAAGGCTGTTGAATCCTGTGGGTAATTCCCAGCTTTCCCTGGATTTCTTCTCCTTTGTTTTTTTGCTTTCCTGAGCTGTCACTCTCTGCTCCGTGCTTCCAAACTGAAAAATTGTTGCAGAACTGTCCCGGTGCCAGAGGGAATTCCCAAGCAGCTTGTAAGGGAATCCATCAGGACCTGACACATCCCTGTTAAATCCAAGGCGTGGCAGGGGCGTTCTCCCATCAGCTCCATCTGCTTGGACCTTCCAGAACATCCCAAAACTTTAAAGGATCATCACTGTGGGAGGAGCTGTTGGGTTCTTTGGAATTTTGCCCTGGAATTTTTTCAGGGATCTCAGGGTGAAGGTTTTATTTGAGGCATTTTTTCACCAACAGGATCTGAACCAAATGTCAGCACATCCTGAGGGATGCAGGCTGGATCCCAGGATCTTGATGCTTCCTTGGATTCAGGGAATGCCTGGATGTGGCTCTCAGGGCTCTGCTGTGGTTGGCAGTGTGGGGATTGGTCATGGGATGATGATCTTGGAGGTCTTTTCCAGCCTCAGTGACCCCAGGGTTCTGTGGTTCTCAGTGACGTGGATTGTTGAGTGAATCGACACCAAGTGTAGCCAAACATCCCCAACTTCCTTAAAAATTGATCTGATCACCAGTTTGCTTCCTGCTTTCCTTCTAAACTGGGATCTGCCTGAGATTTTTTTCTTGCAGATGTGTCTCATAAATTCTGAATTATGGGGCAGGCTGGATATGAAGGAGAGCTCTGCTTCCCAAACATCTCTGTTCCCGTTATCCCTGCGCTGCTCTCAGCTTTGCCAGGAGAGCAACAACTCCTGGTATTTTTGGGAAGAGACACATCCCTGTGTGCCTGGGACACTGATATACCACCAACAGCCACGGGAGAGGAAAACATGGACAGGTCGTTAAATGGGGACCCCCACAAGCGAGTGATTGATGGGATCTTTAATGTTTTGGGGCCCGAAGTCGTGTAGGATTTCTCCTGGGCTGGGGGAGCAGCTCAGCGGGCAGTGGGGAGGAGAAGGATCCTCCTGGAGCCATGCACGTGCTCCCAGTGCATGTCTGGTTTCCTGCTGGGCTGGCCAGGAGCTCAGCCCGTGCAGCAGGAGTTTCCCAGGGCTGGGATTGGCAGTGGTGCTGTTTTCTGCAGGAAGTTCGGCTTTCCCGCGTGGTTCTCCCGGGATTCTTTGGGCTGGTTGGGGTGAGGCTTTCCTTGGGAAGTCCTCCAAGCAAGCAGCATTCCCTGGGGGCAGCTGGGCTTTCCTCCCCTTGTGCTGGGTGTTAGGAGAGCATTTGGGGAATGTTCCTTGGGTGGGCGAGCTGGTGTCTCCTCCCCAGGTTCCCATCCCAGCTCTCTCCTGTTTTCCATGGTCCCTTCCTGGACCACGGGGCTGATTTCACTTGGCAGCCCCTTTTCCCTCCACTCAGTGTCTCGTATTTAGGATCTTCCTCCACGTGGAGCTCTGACAAGCTGGGGCTTTGCAGTGAGCAGAGCTGCTCTGCTTTGGAGGAGGATGTTGCAGGAAAGGTTGGAACGAGGCGATCTTCAAGGTCTCTTCCAACACAAACCATTTCATGATTAGGGAGTTTTGCTGTTTCCTGGCTAAACCTCCTCCCAAAAAATCATGTCCAGACCTTGCTGTAGTGTGCACAGGAGCTGGCTGGGTTTGTTTAGGGAGAAGTGGGATAATCCCAGCAGTGGTGGGAGGCGAGGAGCTCAGGCAGGCGCTGCTGCCGGGGTTTGATTGGCAGCAAGTGCTGGGCTGAGCTCAAATATTGCTGCCTTTTTAAAAGGCATAATTACGTGATTCAATCTATATGTTTGATGTTCCTAATCATCCATTAGAGCAGGATGTAAAGAGGGATGCTTCCCAGGAACATGCCACAGAATAGGGGCTCTTTGTGTGAGCCAGCAGCTCGTTAGGCACTGAGTGATGCAAACACACATTTGCGGGGCTGCTTTCCCTCAGAAGAGCTCGGTGGCTTGATGGCTCCATCATTTTGTTTGTGACTCTCTGTCACTCGGATTTCCTGAGGCTTGGAAGATGCAGAGTATGGGTTTGTGATGCCATCAGAGTCACGAGGTGGGAGGCAGAGGTGTGTGCTGGGATTTCTGCCACTCCTCAGGCAAAGGGCTGAGAGGACACAGCCTCAACTTGCACCAGCAGGGTCAGATTAAATATTAGAATTATTTCTTTTTTCTCTGAAGGAATGGTCAGCACTGGAATGAGTTGCCCAGGGAGGTGGTGAAGCCACCATGGAAGTGTTTGAGACACTTGGAGATGTGGTGGCCCTGGGTGGTCCTGGAGGTCTCTTCCAACATGGATAATTCTGTGATTCCAACCACACAACACATGCTGTGCTAACCAAGCCACAGGGACTTCCCAAGAGGAGCAGCCCCACTGCCAGCAGGGCCCTTGGCGTGGTGGCACTGAGGTGTTTTGTCACCTGCAGCTGCCAGGGGACTCTGCAGTGCTCTCCAAGCCTTGTTCCTCTCTCCAGTATCACAAATACTTGATCCAGCAGGCAGGGTTGGTTTCCAGCTGCTCCATTCCCTCGGTGGTGGCTGGGTTTGGGGTCCTGAGGGAGCTCCTGGCAGCCCTTTTCCCAAAGAGCAGAGTTTAATAACCCTTGATTCCCAAAAAAATTGATTGGCTGGGATTTGTGCTTCCCTGGACCAGCATCTCCCTAGATCTCATGGATTCCCAAAGCCCAGTCCCTCTGGTGCCAGCTCTGCCTGGAGCTTTTTGGGGAGCTTCTGATTGAATCCCCATCCTGTGCTTCCAAGATGAGCCTTTCCCTCCCAGGTAGAAGAGTTTCTGCTTCATTTTTAGGTTGTTTTGGAGGTTTTTAGGGCAGCAGCCTTGCTCAGGAGCTCTCCATCAAATACACCTTGTGGCTAAAACCCCATTCAGCAAACATTAGTCCTGGGTTTGTCCTGCAAGGCCTGAGAGTAGATGACAACTTCATGGAGTCCATACATTGTGGGGAATTCCCTGCTGCAGGTGAGACCCACGTGCTGGGGGAGCCCAAATTCCTGCCCAGGGCTGCGCTGGAGCTGATGAATTGCCAACAGCATCCTGGGGAAAGCTCCTTGTGCCCTGAAAGTCATCAGGGATTGTTAAAGTAAGCCATAAAAGAGAGTTTCTGTTTCTTCAGCAGGGCAGGGGCTGAGGGGCGTTGTGGGAGCTCAGAAATGTGAGAATTTGGTTGCCATCAACACCTGCCTGCCACTGCAGCAGCACTGAGCACACGTGGAAGCTGCAGGAGCACGGGAATGGGGTCTCAGGGGGGTTTGGGAAGAGCCCTGGAGCAGCAGGTTCATCCTCCAGCCCTGCAGTGGGTGAGGGGGCAGTGCTGGGGGGCTTCTCCTGGAGTCTCTGCCCTGGGCTGATCCTGGCTGCAGGAGCAGCATTCCCTGGGGTGGGAGGTCAGGCTGCATCCTGCCTTGGTTGGTGCTTGCTTGGTGTCCAGCAGCACTTCCCTGGAGCTCTCAACCCTGCTGGGATGTGCCCATTTTCCAAAGCACTCCTGGGTCACTTGTGATGATGTTGTGTACAAGGAATATCACCCTGGAATGGTTTGGCTTGGAAAGGATCTTAAAACTCACCCAGTTCTAACCCCAGCACCTTCCACTGTCACAGCCTGGCCTTGGACCCTCCCAGGGATGGGGCAGCCACAGGAAACAGGGAAAACAAGGGATAATTATCACTGCTGGGGATGCACGGAGGATTTGGGGGAGCTTTGAGCATCAGGGGTGCAACAGCAGGCTGGAAAACTGGGAATAAACAGGGAATGGAGGTGGAGCTGTGCTCGCAGAGGATCCCAGCCATATGGAACGAGTTACCAGGGAAGGTGGCTGGAGCAGTGAGTGTGACTCTGAGACATCTTGATTACTTTCTGCAGGAAAGGATTGAAGAGTGGAGTGAAAAACCAGGGAAACGGGATTTAAAGCACATTACCACTTTAATTTAAAAGTGCCCAAAGCAAGGAAATTCAGGTTTAAAGCTGCCAATCTCTGCCTGGCTGCTGCAGGTGTTGGGCTGGGAGGACTCCGGGGTCTGTGTCCAGATGGGTCCTGGGGCCATGAGGCCAATCCCAAACTTTGGGTTTGTCCCAGGAATGAGATCCTTCAGTAGGTGTGTTCTGTGATAATTTTGTTCTTTATGACAGAAATGGGTTTTTCTTTGATAATCTGCCCTGAGTGCAGTGCCCTGGACACCTTCTGTGTGTGATGCCCTTTGGAGTGCTGCAGGGTCTGGGATGGTCCCTCAGGAAGGGTTTTCTTCCCCTTTAATCTCCCAGTTTGGAGAGCCCTTCCCAGGAGCTGCTCCCTCTGCTCCTCCCCACATCATTCACGAGGTCCTGAGGAGGAATTTAGGGGGAGTTTAGGGGAATTTAGAGAATTTTTGGGAAACCCAAGAGCATCTTTTCCACTTGGGATTTTTGACTTGGCCGTGCCTCCCCTTGCTTTGCTTCCTGTAAACAAAATTTCTCTCTATTTTTTTTCCCACTTCCCAGATTTCCCTTTCTGTCAGAATGCCCCCCCCTTCCCAAATCCAGGCTCAGCCCCCTGAGCTGTTCAGGAACATCCTCGGAAGTGGCTGCAGAACAGAGGAGTTGGGAGCAGTTCTTGGCAGGCAGAGACTTAGAAAATAATTTCAGTCCT